AAAATAAATTATCCATTTTACTGTCGAAATATTAACTTCTTCAAAATGAGATTTAAAAAAAGTGTACCATTTATATGTCGAATAAATTATACGCCGCTTTATAGCCGAAGATAAAAGTTATATAATTTTGATTAGTCAAATTATATACTTTTTTGACGAATGATTAATGAGTGGCATTATGCCGAATAAATCCATTTCGACTAGTGATGGCGCAATCAAGTTGGATATAATTATACATTGGAATTACTTACTTTAACAACACAAATTGAAAAGGAAGTTTGGGAGTTTATTTATGGTGTTCATATAACTAAAGGAGAGCAATATTCACAGGCATCATTAAAAAATGCATTGGCTTCAATCAATAGACATCTTCATGAATGCAAACTTGATTGGAAATTAAATCTACTTAACAAAACTGATTTTCCAACAATTAATTCTACTGTTGATGAAATTTTAAAAAAAATGAAAAAATTGGGAATTGGAGCTGCCAAACCTTATGACAGAATAACTGATAAAGAATTAAAGCTTATTTTAAATCATAATGAAATGTCACCAAATAATCCTACTGATCTTCTTCATCATGTTTTTCTTTGGATTTGTCTTCTTGGATGTCTGCAAGGTGGTGAACATCAAACTTTATTAGTAGAACAGTTTGTTGATACAGATCAAGGATTATTATTTAAAAAATTTTATCAAAAAAATGATCAAGGTGGAATTGAAGGAAATCAACATACCTTTGAGATTTTATTTCCAGATGATATTTCAAATCAAATAACACCTAATACAGATATAAAAAAATATATTTTGATGAGACTGATTAAATATAAAGCAAAAGAATTTTATTTATGTGTTTCAAAGAATGAATCGGGTTAGTAAAATTATTTATTTTATTGTTTTTTTTTTAAATAAAAAAATAACAAATTAATGTAAAAATTTAGCTATTTTAAATAATAAATGGTATTATGATTGAGCATTAGGAGAAAAATGAATTCAAGGTTTTTTTAAAGAAATATGCAATGTATGTGGAATTAATTATACAGAACAAAATATTTCATATCATTCTGGAAGAGATATATCAATACAATTGATTTTTAATACTGGAAATGAAGAAATCAAAGCAATGGCAATATCTGGACATAGTTCATCATCTAGTATTCATTTCATTGTTATTTGAATTAATCGATTTCTAAAAAATA